TTGATATAAGCGATAATGTGATAATTGTGTGATAATCACATGATTATCACACCCATATCACATGATTAACCGTTTATTAGATAATGATAATCATGATCGTGTAATCGTATTAAAAGATTTTATGATATCATTTCCATTATTACCCTTTTAATTTTAATATTTTCTGAATCTTTTTAAATTTCAATTTTAGTTTTAAAAATCTTTTAATTTTATTTTTTATCACAATATGTGGTTATTGGATTGTTCTCGCATTCTTGTAAATCACAGGGGTTCTCGTTTGAACCCTTCCCTATATATGCCCATTCAAAAGAGAACTGATTAGTATGTGATAACTGTGAGATCCAATTTCAACCACAAATCAACGGATAAATTAGAAAATTAATAATTATGATAGTTTGAGTTAAAATTATAATTAGAGGGCTTTAATAGAACGATTGGGCTTTAATAAACCGTATTGTGCTTTAATGGATTGTATTGGGCTTTAATGTACTGTATTGGACTTTAATGAACCGTATTGGGTTTTGATAGACCGATTGGACATTAATGGATCGTATTGGACTTTAATTGAACGATTGGGCTTTAATGTACCGTATTGGGCTTTAATGGACCGTATTGGGCATTGATAGAACATATTGGGCTTTAATGTACCGTATTAGACTTGTATGAACCGTGTTGAGTTTTGATAGACCGATTGGACATTAATGATAGACCGATTGGACATTAATGGACCGTATTGGGCTTTAATAGATCGTATTGGGTTTTAATGGAACAATTGAGTTTTAATGAACCGTATTGTGCTTTAATGGATCGTATTGGGCTTTAATGGAACGTATTGGGCTTTAATGGACCGTATTGGCTTTAATGAACCGTATTGGGCTTTAATGGACCGTATTGGGCTTTAATCGACCGTATTGGGCTTCAATGAACCGTATTGGGCTTCAATTGACCGATTGGACTTTAATGGATCGTATTGGGCTTCAATGGACCGTATTGGTTTTAATGGACCATATTAGGTTTTAACGGACCGTATCGGCTTCAACGGATCGTATTGGGTTTTGATAGACCGATTGGACATTAATGGATCGTATTGGGCTTTAATGGACCGTATTGGGCTTTAATGGATCGTATTGGACTTTAATGGATCATATTGGCTTTAATGGACCGTATTGGGCTTTAATGGATCGTATTGGACTTTAATGGATCATATTGGCTTTAATGGACCGTATTGGGCTTTAATGGACCGTATTGGGCTTTAATGGACCTTATTGGACGTTAACGGTTCTATTGGGCTTTAATGTTTTGTATTAAGCTTTAATGGATCGTATTGGGCTTTAATGGATCGTATTGATTTTAAATGAACCGTATTGGGTTTTAATGATTCAATAATAACAATAATAATAATAATTTTTAAAAAATATGATCATTCATGAAATATATAATAATAATAATCATTTTAATGGTAATAATAATATAATTTTAAATTTCTAATAATAATAATAATAACTTAAAATTAAAATAATGGATTTAGAATACCGACGGATATTCCACCAGAAAACAAAAAATTTCAAAAATATACGCACAACCGATTGATTTTTAAAAAAATTAAAATTTTGAAATATTTCCGACAGAATTATCCACCGGTAATCCGCTGGTGACCTTAAATTATTTAAAGTTTTTAGAAACCCGGTTAATTTAAAAAAATTTAAAATTCTTAAAAAGTTTTGCCGACGGTAACCCTAAATTTCTGGTTGCATTTTATTTTTTTAGTTTAATCCATATTTTTACAAATTTATAGGTTTTAAATATTTATTGAATAAATATTTTGAAAATAATTTTTTTATTATAATTTTTTTATTTCGACGGATATATCCGCCGGTAATATTGAAAAATTATAATAATATTTAAAAAATAATTAAATCATTGAAATGTGTGGCGGATTTCCGGCGGAAATATCCACCGGTAATATTTAAAAAGATTTTTAAAAATTTAATTTTATTAAATTATTTTTTCGGCGAAAAAATATTAGTGGCGGTTTTCAGACGGAAATATCCGCCGGTAAATTAAATCATTTTAAAAAAATTCTTAAATTTTTAATTAAGTAAATCAATATTTTTTCTTAATTAAGCCAGCGAACTGTTTCTGGTGGCAGAAATCCGCCGGTAAAATAAAGCATCCGCCGGTAAATTAGACGGAAAACGAATCACCGGCTCCCACTTTTCCGGCGGACAAATCCGTCGGAAATCCGCCGAAAAATCCTACTTCCGGCGGATTTGTCCGCCGGAAAAGCGAGCCTGTTTGATAGTGTGCCTAAAGTCGAAGTGGTGACAATATGTGAATGACTGCTATTACTCTCGTGCAATTTTAGGTTTTGAAAGAAAGGGTTTCGAGGAGGAGTTTTAGCCAAAGTTGCAAACGAAAGATATTATCAAAATGTCTCAAAATTATGCAAAACTAGGTAAGAACACCTTATTTGTAAGATAAATCAAGTATTTTAATGGAATATATGTAGAGAATAAATCAATATATTTGAGTTATGACAAAAGAATTTTCATTATACACCTCATGTTTATAATCATTAGTCTCATAAATTTCTTTTATCATTTTGAACCAATTATAAAGTTTGATGATTTAGAATTTAGAGGTGGGTTATTATACAATTTATTACATTAGTACAACTCAATCTCAATCGTCTATTTAATTTGATGAATATATAATTTTATAAAAGTTTTGATTGTTTCATAATATATTGATCATAATTAATGAATCTTATTCATCTTCCATAAATATTTAAATCATAATAAATGAACTCTCATTATTTCCATAAATATTTCAATTTGTTAGATTACATTGGTTGTACAAATATGATAGGTTGCATTTGAAACAAACTCTTAGAACTTATTTATTAATTATATGTATCAAAAGAAACAATCAAGGATGATGAAACAACTTCATATCAAGTGTAATATCAATTCATATTAGTATAATATTTGATATGTGATCATCACTTATTTAACTTATAATAAGTTGATAAAAACTTTTATAGGAAAATATAAGTTTTTCCAATGAGCAATCCAAAACACCCCTTGGAGGATGATGATAGGATAATAGCTAAGATATGATGTATATGATTCAATAGCATAAGGATTACGTGATCATTATGAACAAAAGAGAGATTTATTCCTGAATTCAATCAATTCCTTGATATCCATGGGAATATCAAACTCAGCTATGGGATCTTTAAGCTAACTAATTCTTCATAATTGCTTACCTAATAAACTCATATTCGTCAATTATCTAGGCTAAAATGGCAGGCGTTCGATCGGACAAGTGAAGATGACGACGAGTGGTAGTTGGATTCAACAGAGCTGGATCTCGGAGAATCTAAACTTCTGATCAAAAGTTGCTTCACGGCGGAGATGAGATCCTCCAGCGGTGGCGAATTCATTGATGATCGGAAGTTTTTGCAGAATCTCATATGCCGATCCAGAGCTGCTTCCTCTGACTCCGAACAAGATCTCTCCATCTCGTCCTTTACCGCCTCCGCACACAGTCCACAAATCCACCGCCCCTGGTTACTATCTCTCACGGTCGCGATGTACGTCTGCGTACACTCTTCCGTCAGGCCGCAGCACTCGCATTTCACAGACTCCACGTCACCACCACCGTCCACCTTAACCGACGTCAATTTCACATCCATACCAGACATCATAACCGTATCCTTCACCATTATAATCAAACAGAAAAAACAGCTTACAGTCAATAACCTACAATCAACACGGCTATATAAACCGGTACGAAGTTAATGACAATTGTTTTGGAAAAACAAAAATCAAACTCACCGATCTTCGTGATTGACGTTCCAAATCTCTCTAAAATTTCCTCCAAAGTCGTGACTGTTTGCAAATTACGAAAAAACTTATCGTTCTTTCTCCCACTCGCCTTCTTCTTCAACAACCTCACCGCCAATCAGCAACAGCTTAAAACACAGCAATTTCATATACATTTCAGAGCCCTTTTTGGCTCAGACCAAAATTGGATAGAAGTAAGCAACAAGAGAAGAGAAGAGGAAGAAGGTTCAGGAATTCTCTGTTTGTAAGAGATGTAGATATACGAAAGAGGTGGGGAAGACGACAGAGAATTGCCAGCTCTAGTTACTTGGCTGTTTTGAGGAGCTGTTACTTTCAGCAACAAACAAAATTCACGTGGGTTACGTCCCACTGCTTCATTGCTGCTCTCATGTCTGTCTCATCGCCATTGATTTTGAAGTTCCCCCAATTGATAAACATAAGCTTTTTTTCTTCTTTTGTTTCTTCTCATACATTAAATTAAATTAAATTAAAATAATAATAATATCTTTTTCCCCAACTAAATCTTAGATTTTCTAGTTTGACTCTATAATATTTAGATTAAAATAAAGCTTGATTTGATAACTATCATAAAGAATTCACCAAAAATAGTCCATCAACATTCAACCCTACCTTCGTGTCTGTCTGTAGCTATATATTTTGAAGGTATTGAGTCATTGTTGGGTTTCGATTTTCGATTAGAATGAGAGTTAAAAGGGAAAAGGTCAAGTAGGGATCTCCATTTATGTTACATATTATGATGAGATATACCGTAGCATTCTCCATATCAAACACGATTCATGTGTGAGTTTGAGATTAAAGGTGATCAAGGGTCAGATCATTTCTTAAGATTCTCATCTTAACCCCCTTTCTCACATGCAGGACGTCCAATGATTTTTGATGGCCTCGACGAAAAGTCAAAAAAATGCACCTAACAGAAACACGGATATTGAGGGATTTGAAACTTAATCAAACTAGGAGGTTCCACCTAATGCCAATTTCAATTGAAAAAAGTAAGTTACCTCGGTGGAAGAAGCCTCAGGAAAGAACCAAAGAGTTAAGCAGTTCATCCTGTGGCCAAATCTGCATAATCTAACCATTGGGACTGATATGCATCACTAAGTCAATCAAATACCTATAATTCTCCACAATTTTTCCTCCATTAACAATCATCAAGTAGCTTTTGATCATCCAATATATCATCTTAAAACGACCCCAAATCAAATTCCATGCGTGCATCAGATTACTCCTTCCACCAAGCTTATTTCCTCTACCATTGATCAAAAATCTGAAAATTACATTCCTTATTTCTCTGAAAACACCCATTTGTTGATTTTTGCATAACCATACCACCCTTGTTTCATAACCATTCCCAAACATCCAAGTTCCATCCTTATATCTCTTACTTTTTTTATTTTTCATTCATCACCCTTACCATGTTAACATAAAAATTCATATATGAACTAAAATGCATTAAAAAATAAGGTTTTGTTTTACAAATTATATCATTATAATTGTCTCGTCAATACCTTCAAAATGAACTCAATATTGAATATTTTTGGATTTAATCATGCTAATAAATATTATGAATACCTACATAACTTGTTTTATATCCCTTATCTTTTCAGTTTAAAATTTACATATTTATCATATTAAAAATATATAATCATAGATTAACAAAAATACATTAAAATGCGCTTTTTTTATTACACATTATACCATTATAATCATTTCGTCAATATCTTCAAAATGGGTACGAATTTATACTATATTATAAAATATCATAAATACGTATGAATCTATATTATATTATAAAAGGCCTTAAACAGTTATATATCACAAAGGACTCGGACATAACTTGACAAATCTAAGGAAACATATAAATTATCTCTCTATATGTATGAGTCACTATAAACGTCATTCATTTTGATTTTCCTGTTTTTGGATTTACAGTTGGTATTCGTTTAAGGTCGCGATTGAGACATATTGTCTGACAGTCTCCAAACCACACTATCTCAGTATATCTTATCTGGGGATGGGGTCTGTCGGGAGGGGGGGGGGGGGGTTCAAGCGAGGATCCCTGCTTTTGAGAAAGTGTGTGAGAGAAAAATGATTTAATCAGGGTCACAAGTGGTACTCAATGTTGCATTATGAAACCTCCATGTATATGAGTTGTCTTTAGAATCTGTGTTGTAACACCCCAAAGAATGGGATAAAATTTTTTCCCAAAAAGAAGGAAATGTGGTATACAAATATCAAGATAGGAGCTTGTCCAAAATGGGAATAAGGTATACCAGTTACATTACAATGTGTAAATATATTGGTTTGAGGTTAACAACCTCCAATCTAATCCTTGGAGAACTAGATTACAATCGCATGTCATCCCAAACCATCCAAAAGGTTAACCATCTGCATAGTGTCCCAAAAGTTTCCTAAGCTTGCTTTACAAGCCAATCAAATCTTCTTGGTGGTCACGTCACTAGAACCTGAGATACATGTTGACACAAGCAAATGTTAGGCCAAAAAGTCTAGTAAGCATGAACAACTATAACGAACACTATATTTTAATTGAAAGCATCAATAACATTTAGTTGGGATTAACGAGGAAGAACCGTATCATCTTACAAGCATCATCTTAAATAAAGGTTGACCTGAGTGTCTACAATTGTAGATATCACCACAAGGCCCTGCACACTTAAAGACTACCTCCAATGCATTACTTCAAGCGACGAAGATCCTGCTGTCACCAAGACAGCACTTCCGAACTCAACCCTCCTAATGTCTACACAAAGGTTCATCTGAAACATACGATTGTAATTAGGGTTATTCATGTGATCAAAATAATAGGGCATGTTTTCTCTTAACCAAGGTCAAATTAATGGTCCAACAACTATACAAATCACGTTTACAAAATAAACCCCATTATGCTATGACCCCAAAATTAGGTCAATAATACCTCAAAATACACCATATAGAATTTTACGAATTCTTTAGTCAATCCTCATGAAATCTCTTTTAAAGCAACTATGATCAAGGGATAAACAATAAATATGTAATCATAAAGAGCAATTTAATTTTTATGCGTACAAGCCCTAAGATAAGATAAGATAACCAAATCACCAATTTATTGAATAACACATGAAATAAAGCTAGAAATGCAAGTAAGCTAAGCATATAGACATGTATCTAATTTTTACAAAGGATTTTATACCTACCCATTAGGTTTTTAGGGGAAAACCTAGAAAATAGCATAACCCTAAAAATGGAGTTTGGGGTGGGGGGGGGGTCTTGAATCTTGATCACTAACTTTGATTCCTTTCAAGAACACTAAATGAAATCTTGGATCATCAACAAAACCCCTCCATTAATACAACTCTTGGTTGGAAGTAAATGAGAAGGAAGATGGAAGATGGAGGATGGAGGTAGGTGAGGGAAAATGGAAAAGTAACGAGGGTGATGATGAGGCAAAGAAGAAGGCAGCAGGTCAAGAGGAACTTGGCCGATGCATGAGGCCTTTCAGCCAATTCGGGCGACTTTCGTGCAGCTTAGGCCGCATGATACATGTTTTTGCTACTATTACCTACTATCTCAATTTGTCCCAGCCATCTACCAATAGCCCTCTACGCAACTTCCATGCGGGTTTAAGGGTGCCTTAAGCCTCCCCCTCCCAGGGAAATTTCAAGGCTTCCAGCGCCTCGGGCGGTTTCTACGCGGCTCGAACCGCATGGGGATCGCGTTACACATTAGATGTTATAGTCTTTTAGTGCATTCACCCGTTTAAATAGAGTCCAAGCCGGCTTTGCCACGGCTTTGGCTGCATGGCAACAACACCGACCCTCCAAGCATCTCCACCAAGAGTTAGGTTTGACCAAAACATCCCTTAAGCACTAAAATAGTTCATGAAATAGCTCCCGACTTTTAAAAGGTTAAAACAAAAAGCTCCTAGGAGCTCGAGATTAATGTTTAACGAAAAGGCGGGTGTTACATGTGTCACAATTAGGTCAAGTGTACCCATATAATATTGAGGCTCCAAGTGCCACTCTCGTAACAATATTAATAGTGCAAAACAAAAGGATCAGTCCTTCTATGAGGAGCTAGATTGTTGGTGTCTTCTTTTTGGGGTATTTTATGATGATCATCTACATTGAGACACGACCTCATTCTGTCTAGAAGAAGTTACTTAGGTTTAGGTCGAGAGGATGGAATCTTCCAATAATAGTTAGCAGTACTGAACAAATGAGTCATCGAAACAGAAGTTCATAAAGATGCATGGTGTTGCATCCTTTAGACCTTTTGGATGAGTTTGATGGTTTAACTTTATTGTCATACAAAGTATTGCACAAAATTTGAGCATGCAAAACTTTATGATTGTTATTTTGGTTTTTATATAACCAAATCAAATAAACACACCAAATATATTCCAATTTTATGTTGACTTTTTTTCTACCTCTTAATTCTTGAAAATGCTAGACTAATAAACCTTATTACAAGGTCTGAATGTTGAAAATGTTATGTTTGGATGTTGCATATGTATTCAAATTTCTGCTTATAGAGATTGACATCTATTGTAATCGACTCGACTGAAGAGCCTTGGGTCAATAGCATCATGTAAACTTACATATCTATTGTAACCTTGCTTTTTCTTTAACATGTGTACAACTGTTGTTTTATTTTTATTTTTATTTTTCTTAGAGAGATATATAAATAGTGTTTTTTATGGAAAATATTTTATATGAGTTAATTCTTATTTTATTAAAAAATATTGGCATGTTTAAAATCAAATTCATGCATTTAATCATTTATCGTAAATATCATTATGATTTTTCGAGAAACATCTTTTTGGAATATTCTCATCTGTTGATGTAATGTTAACATCTAAGGAAGTCATTGAAAAGAATTCCTCTACTCATGAACCATAAACTTCAGCTTTAAAATTACAGTAGCAACCAAAAATAAAATTCGCAACTTGTATTCCATTTGCAATTAAAAAACTATAACATCAGTCAGTAATCATATGCGTCTTGGCCAATTTGCTTGCACCTCAATTAGTCTCAAGACTCCTAAAAAATTAGAACAGGTAGCTATCAATCTTTTTTAAACTAGGAAACATGTTGCTTAAATGTATTCAAAATGTGTATTCGGTTATATTGTACGGGTATACAATTAGCATTGAAGAAAAAAAAGTTAAAAATGAAACATGATTGCCATTTTAAGTTCCTGACTTTAATCGAGATGCACACAACAACATCC